CGGTGGCTGGCACAGGCACCTGCAGCAAATCGGCAAACTTTGCGTTAACGGAGCAGTTGTCACCCACGAGATAAGCTATGCTAGCCAGGTTGCGCTTCAAAAAGGGCAATATCCCTCGCAGAAACGCGACATGGCTTGCAGCAGTCTGATCAACTGCCTCTTCGTCCACAATTCGAGAAATCGCAAGAAGAACTTTCTCGGAGCGTTCGTCGTGACCAAACACGCCGAAGACCGCAGCACAAAGCCCCGACAAGAAAGTGCATTCGACCAGCATAATGCCGAAAGTTGGAGGAATGAAGTCGCTGATCGCGGTTGGAACCTTGTCACCAAAACAGCGTATTTGAGCAGCGTTTTTGAAATCCTCTTCAACGACTTGTACTTGTTGATAGAACGATCCTTACAAAAAGAGACATGGAAGCTGCATTGCACAGTTAAGTCAAGCCAGAAGTAAATGACTTTGGCTCTTATGGTCGATAAACGTAGCAAGCATTTCTAAGTTGACGCCGCTGGTCGTCATGGTGGTGAGGTAGTCTGGGTGCTGTTTTAGAGCGTGGCTAATAAGATTTGAGTAGCCAGTCTTGACGTTTTGCCTGCGAATATTGCCACTATGACTGCGATAGTGATGGGTAGGCTCATCCGGGTCGTCGAGAAGTGGCTTGAAAAAGTAGCTGCAAATTTGCTTGATTTCAAACGAGAATGCCAGGGTCATGGTTACTTCAAAAGTGAGAGTTCACAGATGCTAGGTCGTGCTGGTGGTTGCGACCCGATGTGACAGACAGCTTTTGGCGTATATACGACACATTGGCAGTTACGAACGAAATTGGAAGACACCGTAAAAAGGTGATTTGTAAAAAGTAGGATATATATAACCGGCTTAAGCCGATAAAATAAAGTATTGATGGAAAATGTCGATTTAGAAAAAATAAGCTATTTTGGAAGTATTGTATTGGATTTCCAATACTTTTATTATTTCGAGCACTTAGTAATGTGGTGTTACAACACATTACCCTATTTCAGTAAATGGCAGATTCCGGACACCAGTCCGGATGGTCGCCATACGGAATGACTGAGTCATGCCGGGTGGAATTCAGCCAATCACGGTCGGATTATTTTTTCCGGATGACAGTGGATAGGCTTAAATGACAATTCAATAAATTACAAATAGGTGGCTACCTTGCGACAGACTTCTTCGCTGTTCATTCAGTGATTTTAAGGCGTACCCCTCAAGCCTCCAGCCACAGCTCCAACTCCAGACCACGGTGCGTGCCTTCTCCGACCCCAACGCCCCCGTAGCTCAGCGGTAGAGCGGGAGACTACGTCTCCAGGCCGCTGGTTCGAATCCAGCCGGGGGCAGATAGTTGTAAGCTTTGCTGCGTGGATTGTGTTTGTGTTGTACTCTGTGGTGAGTTTGCAATAGCTGGTGCTGTGTTGTGTGCTATGGAGCGACGCGTGTGATGCGGTATATGTATGTACATGCTGTGATGAGCAATTGCTCGTGTATTGCTGGATTGGGCGTGCTGTGCTGTGTGTTGTGCGTATGCTGCAGTGTTGTGTTGTGCTGTGCGTGTGCTGCTATGTTGTGTACTGTGTGCTGTAACATGCTGTGTGCATTGTGTGTGATTATGCTTTGTAATGTAGGCTGTACTGATTGCTGAACTATCTACCGTGGTGTACTGCCGTTAAATGGTGTTAATGCTGGTGAGTGCTAGTTGCTCGTGCTTATGTTTGCTGTACTGTGCTGCCCAACGGCTTGTCAATCCAAGTTAGCTGCTACCCAACGGCTTGTCAATCCAAGTCAACTGCTGCCCACAGATGTGATGGAGGTGTGCAGGCATCTACGAGGGAACCACTGGATTTCAAGACAAGATACTGTGCTCCAAGCGAGCGATACGCTTCAGGGTGCGACGTACGCAGCAGGCGCCAGCTTCTTCGAAGGGACGAAGCTTTGCGAGTTGGTTTATTTGGTCGAAGTCGAAATGACTCTGGTCCTCGTCTGTATCCAGCTTGAGTCCAACCTCCTCGGTTACTGGCTTACCAGTCCTCTGTTAGCTGCGACGTCTACCTGTGCAGGCCCCCTCTGGGAACTCGATTAGGCGTCTGAAACGTACCTTCGCATGTTCACTTTTGCGTTTGCTCCGCAGGTAGGCTTGGAGCCCAGCTAAAATTTATATGTTTCACTAGTGGGTATGGGGGTGTGG